CCAGTTATGTCTCAGCATAGTTGCTCATCCCAGCATTGGTCCTTCGGAGAACTGTTACTGATCCTTCAAAGGTCAGGACCAGCGGACCTTCACTGTTGGAGCCCATCTGGGTTTCCTGGTGGCTTTACCCAGCAGGTCTGCATAAACAGGATGATTGGACCACAGGCCTGGGTACCGGGTGTTTGGAAGGGTCTGCACGTGGCTGTATCTAGCAAGGGGGAGGTCTTTTGCTCTGCCCCTTGGCATTGTGATGAAAAGCCCTTTGGAATAAAGTTCTGGGATGATGGGTTGAGACCTAGGTCCTCCTGTGTTTTCCGTCTTTCCGCTCATCATTTAGGTATCTCTTTCTAGCTAATATTTCTCACTTCTCTCTACTCAAGAGTACCCTGGGTCGTAAAAGTGGTGGCTGGCGCCTGAACAGAGACACCAGAGAGTTGGTAGGGTGGAGGGCCCCGTGGGAAGTTAGGGCATGTCTGATTATGTGTGTAGACGAGGGTAACCTATTCTCTTCTCGGGAGTGAAAGCGGCTGAACGTATGCCCAAGTGCGGCAGCAAGTGTTTGCCTTTGTCTGTGTTTCTCTGTTTTTCTCTCTTGTTAACAAAGTAAGTCATAAGTTTAGTTTAGTCTGTGAGTTCAAAGCCAGCCTGGGCTACAGAGTGAGTTCCAGGAAAGGTGCAAAGCTACACAGAGAAACCCTGTCTCAAAAAAACAAAAACAACAAAAGCAAAGCAAAACAAACAAACAAAAAGGATATTAGTGTAGAATAAGTTTTAGGTCTAGAGATACAGTGAAGGTTTAATAAAGTAGTAGAGTAGGTTTTCTCAACCTGGGACCCAGAAGGTAGGGTCCCTAGCAGACTGTGGTCTGGCAGTCTGAACAGTTTCAGAAATTCCAGAAGCCGCTAAGAATGCCAGAGCCAGGACAGCGGACACAGCCTGGCATCCGGAGCTGAGACCAGAGGGTGCAGTGTAACCCAGGTCGCAGACGCCCGAGGGCCTGTAAGCTTTCTGCGGAAAGAAAGCCTCGGCGGTGAGAGCCGAGTGGAGACACCAAGTGCCCGCGAAAGCAGAGCCAGCACTAGGGGTGAGTGAGGTTCTGCGCGCTTTCTGCCATGAAAGTGCCATGGCCGGAGAGCGCAGTCAGCCAGCCAGGGACGGCAGGCAGCGGCTTTTGAGGTGCAGCAAAGACTTTGGACCCCAACTACCGGCACAGGCCTGTCTCCTGGAGCCACAGTCCCTGGCGCAAGACGCCGCGGGAAAGGCAGAGAGGCGAGCAGGTGCCTCAGAGAAGGCGCCATGGGAGAGGCCAAGAGTTCAGTGGACAGCCAAGTGTGGCTCGAACCCTGGAGGCGAGAACCGTGCTGCAGACCAAGATCTGTGGGGACTGCGGAGACGCAGCCTGAGCTTCCAGCAGCAAAAGTTTTGCAGTATGTTTGTTGACTGTAAGAAAGTCTCTTTTGAGAGGACTTTGCATCAACCAGCTCCTATGGAGTTAATAGCTTTCTCCCTGAGTGGAGGACTACCATAAAAAGCGCTGATTGTAACTGCAAGTTAACAACTGTCCGTGAGAACGAAAAGTTGCAGAGACGCTTGTTGGAACTAAAATTATTAACTGCAAAAAGTCTTTGGTTGTAAAATGTCTCTTCATATTTGGAAATGAAAGTCTAGTACCAGGATTTATTTGAACTTTTTGAACTTAAAAAAAATGAGATAAAACTACAAAAAGGTTTTGGTTATGGGTTTCTTCATATTTGGAAGGCTGGTACCTTTATTTGAATTTTTGGACTTAAGAAATGAGTTGGACAATAGTGATTTTATTGCAATGGGAAAAATTTGAACTTAATGTATATACACTAACAGTGATGACCTAGGAACTGTTTTATGAAACTGTTTGTATTAAAAATGGAACTGTTTAAATGGAGACATTTTTTTTTCTACCTAGGCTCAAAATGCAGTTTTGTGTATGCATATGTGCTTTATTAACTGTGGTGATTTATGAATTGTTTTGTATTAAAAATGGAAATGTTTACTGATGGAACTGTTTAAATGGGGAAGTTTGGTTTTTTTTCCAACTAAGCTCAAGATTTAGTTTAAAAAATTATAAAGGAGTTAATATTCCTCAGTCTATTTAATTTAAAAAATATTTTATTACTTGAGTGGATTAATGATATTTTTGTATAGTTATACTAAGAGATTACTTTAAGCATAAAGAGTTTTATTAAGAAATTGCTTTTGGGGAGCTGGAGAGATGGCTCAGAGCACTGACTGCTCTTCCAGAGGTCCTGAGTTCAATTCCCAGCACCCACATGGTGGCACACAACCATCTGTAATGAGATCTGGCACCCTCTTCTGTATACATAATGAATAAATAAATCTTTTTTTAAAAAAAGGAAATTGCTTTTGGATGTTTTGCTAAAGTATTATTATTTTTCCGGAGCTGAGGACCAAACCCAGGGCCTTGAGCTTGCTAGGCAAGCGCTCTACCACTGAGCTAAATCCCAAACCCCTAAAGTTTTTGAAGTGTTAATGGTCATATTGAGAATATTGATTCTGAATGTATGCATGGTAATATTTATGATAGAGCTATGTTAGCATATTGATATTGATACACCATGGTTTGGTGAAGTTAAGGAAATATTTAAGTTTGATGCGGATGCATCAAAAGTTTATCCTATGTGTTAGTAAGAACTGCAAATGGTTATATGAAGAGATTGCTTTAGAGTATAAAGAGTTTTAAAAAATTGCTTTTGGATTTTTGCTAAAGTTTTTAAAGTGTTAATGGTTCTATTAAGTTTGTTTTGGATGTAAGTTTGAGAGAATTGTAATTATAGCAATATTTATGTTAGAATTATGTTAACCTGTTAATGATGAAGGTAAAGGAGTCTTTAAGTTTTGATGCAGTTGCATCAGGAGTTTATTGATTTGTTTGATGTGGTTGCATCCAGAGTTTTTTGACTTAGACAGGGCTTGATGCAGCTAAAGCTGCTGTAGTCATCTTAGACCAATTCCAAACAGGACATTCATTCCATCTATATCATCTTCTACTCCTTCACTGGGAAGTGTGACAGCTATGGAGATTGCTGTGAGCTCCAAATGGGAGATTTTTGTTTTCTTTCTTTTAAACATTAAGAAGGGGAGACCTGTTAGAGCCCATCTGGGTTTCTTGGTGGCTTTGCCCAGCAGGTCTGCATAAAGATGATTGGACCACAGGCCTGAGGATCAGGTGTTTGGAAGGGTCTGCACTTGGCTGTACTGAGCAAAGGGGAGGTCTTTTGCTCCTCCCCTTGGCTTTGTGATATTCCCCTTTGGAATAAAGTTCAGGGCTGGTGGGGTCAGACCCAGGTCCTCCTGAGGCTATCCGGTGTTTCCTCTTCCCTGTGTCTAGGTCTCTCTTTCTAGCTAGTATTTCTCACTTCTCCCTACTCGAGTAGCCTGGGTTGTGAAAGTGGCGGCTGCTCCGCCACACTTCACTTCTGCCACCGTCTGCTCAGTGCCTGCCGTAAGCTCCTGAATACACCTGTTCACATTCTTTGGCCTGCTGTACCTGTATGTGATAGGGCAGCACATCTTCTGCCTCTCTGCACTCGCTGATGACGGCTCTGGGATGGCCTAGCAAATCCATCCCTAACACACGAACCATTTTAACTGGAGGAGAGCTAAGAGGCAGTGGAACAGGTCTAGAAGCTAGGACAGTTCATTTTTGGTCTGGTATACCTCTGGCCCAATGATGGCGTGTCTCAAACTAGTGACCTAGGCGCTAGATGGTAGATTCAGGCTCAGGCTTCCAGAAAGGGAACCTTTAGGACTCTAAGATCTGATTTTGGAGGCTATCTTTTAGAAGGTGAGAAACAGGAAGATCAGCTCTTAAGGTGAGTTAGTCACAGCTCTAAATGAAAGCCACCAAGGGCTGGGACCAGTCTGACTACAGGAGCTGCCACTTTATAACTAATTAATTCCACATTTTAAAAATGGATAGTACGGCTTTAGAGACTGAACTGAACTTGCTTTGGTGCTAGAGTAGGGAATCTGAAGTCAGGTGAGCTTTACACTCGCCCTAACTTTCATGAGTGGCAGTGTGTCAAAATGTCAGATAAATGAACTGGAACCAGTTGGGCAGCTGCAGAAATCCACGAAGACCTCTTTACCCCCCTCTTGTCCTGTATTCCCCTCCAGCAAAATTTCTAGTCTTGTTTCCAGATTGTCTCCTAAAGGGCTAGAGGCATAGCTCAGTGGTACAGTGCTTGCCTAGATGTGTGAGGCCAAGATTCAGTCCTTAGTGGAGCAAACCAAATTAAACCACCCCACCCCACCATCTTTAAGATGGCTGCCATCAGATGCCAAATAAAACTCAAGGTCCCTGCCAGGTGTGGGAAGTAACCATTCCAAGCTCTGGGTGGTTATTCACCTTCCTCCTGGACTGTCCTCCAGCCCTGCCCAACTCCTACCAAAGGGGTCTCTGAACATGTCTCCTGGTCCCTCTGAGGTTTCAACTCAGAAGCAGCTGCTTCGTCTTGGACCTTTCCTTCTAAGCATGTATCACTTCAACAGCTTTGTTACATTTTATCTGACCCCCCTTTTCCTGTACAAATTCTACAGAGACAAGCTGCTGCATGTCCTGTGTCCAAATAGCCCTGGGCAGAGGTTCTCAGGAATTTCTTGTGTATAAAGACTTTTTGATGCTGGCTGGCATCTCCTGCAGCCAGGAATTCCTGCTGCTTCTGGGTTTTTGATCCTCATTAATGAGTAAATCTTCTTTGGGGTTCAAGATCCAGCTGCTCTCCTCTCGTCCCAAAGCCCCAAGCCTGTGCCTGGGGCTCTTGGCTCCTGCCAAGCCGAAGCCACACCTCAGAAGAGCAGGGAGGTGAGTCTCTGGGCTGGGCCAGGGTTGGGAAACTTGGAGGGCCTGAAGACGCAGCTGCCAGTGGGAGTTGAGCATGCTGGCAGAAACCACCCATGGTGCTGCACCCTACCAACCACATGGGCAGGAAGAGGGCAAAGGGCACAGTTCTAACAGCAGCATTTACTTTGGTTTTCACTTTTCAAGGCCCAAGGGTGCTTTGTCAAGATCAAGTCCTATCCACTGTCCCATCACTCTTCCTTCAGCCACTTCAACAGCTGGGGTGCAAAGTAGGTGATGATGACGTCAGCACCTGTGTGGGAAACAAAAATGAGGGGGATGGGACGTCAGCCCCCAGAACACTGGGGAGGTGAGGGCCAGGCACGGGGGACCATGATGGAGAGGCACAGCCGAAGACTGAGCCCGGCTGTGGCCGGCTCCAAATACCGAACAGGTCATTCTCTTGTTCTGGGTTTGCTGGTGTGCGTACGACGTGTGCAGAAGCAGGCAAGCACAAGCCTGAATGTCCTGCCGGCCTGGGGAAACCGAGGCCCAGTGCAGCACTGAGACCAGACTACAGACATCTCTTAGTTGAGGTTCTTTCTCCTCCTGCTATGTCACTGAGATCCAGCCAGGGCTGACTGGATGTGGACTCCACGGTCTCCCCATGGGTTTCAATGATGAGCGAGTGTGTCCAATTTGCTTGTTTCTATGGACCTTTCTGGTGAGTGGGGATAACGGGCGTCTGCTGTTAAACTCTTGGCCCTGGAGCCTGAACCTACCCTGATGACCAGAATGGTGTGTGATATCAACGAAACCTGCTCCCGTGTATAGGGTAATAAGCCTCCACTGCGTATCATCTCAGGCACTCCTCAGGACAGCACCAGGTATCTTATCCCGGTCTATGGACAAGGACTCCGAGGTTCACAAAAGTGGCCTGCCCAAGTTCTCACAACCCAAGAGCTAGACCAGGGCCCTATTCCCGCCGTCGCTGCACATCGGTCCTGCCCCTCCTCACACTCTTTTCTAACTTGTGCCTGGTGATCAGAACTTCCGGCAAAGGATCCCAACTTCTCGGACCTTTGCTTTCCTACCCGGGCAGAGTGCCTATCAGGCCCGGTGGCACAAGTTCCGAACCCCACCCCTGCTTACCGGCTCTGCGGAAGGCGGTCACGGCCTCCAGTACAGCAGTCCTGAGATCAAAGGCCCCCGCCTGGGCTCCGTGCCACAGCATGGCAAACTCTCCGGACACCTGGTATACCGCGAGAGGGAGCTCGGGGTGCTGCGGAGAATGGCAAACAGGTTCCAGTGACCGTCCCTTTCCTCCCTGCCCAGCCGGCATGATCACTGCCGCCGCCGCCGAGAGCCCAGCTCGTTCACCAAGTGTTCAGCCAGAGCTGTCTAGAGGCTCCCGTGAGCCGCGGCCGATGAGACAAGCAGTACCCAGGCCGGGGTGGGAGGGGGCTCCTCTTCAGGGGCACACTGTTTCTGGCTCAGAGGCTCCTTCTAGAGCCCCTCCATTTAGGGTGGGTGCACGGTGGGGCGACCTCTCCCACCCTACATTCTGTGCTTACCTTGTCCTTCACCTCCCGCACCACATCCAGGTAGGGCATTCCCGGCTTCACCATGAGCATGTCAGCTCCTTCCCGAATGTCCCGGGCCTAGGGATAAGGGGAAAGTGTGGGCAGAGCCTGAGACAGGGACGGGGCAGGGCAGGGCAGGTGGGTACGGGGCTTAAGTTCTGGTCACTCACCACTGCGCGCAGGGCCAGGCCACGGGCTCCAGGGGGCAGCTGGTAACAGCGGCGGTCTCCAAAAGCTGGGCTCGACTGAGCTGCATCCCTACGAAAAGAACATCGCCATGCTGGAGTCCAGCTTCGGGAGCCTGGGCCAGGAGTTTAACAGACCCCTGCTGGTGCCACTTACCGGAAAGGTCCATAGAAACAGGAGGCAAATTTGGCACTATAGCTCATCACAGAGACCTACGGAGAAGACAATGGGGTCCAGGCTGAGTCGGCCCTTTCCAAATCCCAGGCTGAAGTGACGAGGAAAAGTCCTCCAGGCAGGAATTAAAGGACCTATAATCCAGTCTCACTGCACACACACTAGGCCTTAATTTCTCTGAGGCTGAGATGGAATCCGAAGGCCTCATCCAGCACTACTCCCAATTTCGTGATTCACTGTGTCTACGTGGGGTCACGTGTGAGTGCATGTGCGTGCATACGCGCGTGGAGCTCAGAGAACAACTTCAGCGTCATTCCTCAGCTGCCGCCCACGTTTTTGGTTGAGATAGTTATCTCCTACGGGCCTACAACTTTGCCAGGGGTAGGCTAGCTGGCCAGCAAGCTCTACCACACCATCCCAGGGATTACAAGCACACCACCATGCCCGCTTTTCACAGGGGCTGGGAGATCCAAACTCAGGTCCTCACACTTACAAGCAAATGCTTTACAGAGCCGTAGTCCTTGGGCTGGCCTGGGCCCTCTCCTTCCATTCATCCCCACACCCCTCCCTGCCCTCAGTTCATACCCTGTTGCCAAGTCCATGTTTGAGCAGGGCAGTCTTGATGGCCTCAACACGTCCATCCATCATGTCTGATGGGGCTACAACCTGACATCCTGAGGGACAGAAGGGGACCTTCAGAATTCTGGGTCTCTCTCGCCCATTACGCCACCCTGTCCCTGCTACTAGGGGCTCACTCACCTGCCTTGGCATAGGCCAGTGCCACCTCTGCCAACCGCTGTCGGCTTTCCTCGGCTAGGAATGCTCCATTCTCACTCAGGAGGCCTGGGGGGCAAGGTGGATGGCTATGAGGATATACCTTGGGTCCTTGTTTATGCCCACCCTGGGGGGGAAGCTGGGCTTGGATAACAGGGCATGCGGCTCACCACAGTGACCATGGGAGGTGTAGGGACACAGGCAGACATCACAGGCCACTAGAAGGTCAGGGAAGGTCTTCCTCAACAGACGGATAGCCTCAATGGCTGGAGAGTCCTCAGAGTCAGCTGCGGAGCCCTGCTCATCCTAGAGGCAGGGGAAGGACAGGGTGGTCTGTGTGTCACAGGTGTTTTTCACAGGGCACAGTGGCTGCCACTGAAGAACACAACCCCAGCCTTCTCCTTTCATCCCATCGAAGACTCTGGATGAGGATGCACTGGACTGGCGCCATTTGTACAGCGTGCAGCAGAACCCTGGAGACAGGGCTCAGATCGCCCAGTGAGGGTGTCACAGTCCTACTACTTATGAGCTTCCTGACCTGGGGTCAAAGGCAAAGAATGCACCAATGCAGTTATGGCCCCCAGAGCCTGCAGAGGGCAGAGCAAGGCCAGAGTGAGTGTGGCACTTCAGTCCCTCCTCACTCTGTCTTCATTTCTCCTTCCGTGTGTGCGTGTGCGTGTGTGTGCGTGTGTATACACACACACACACACACACACACACACACACACACACACACGCACGCACGCAGAGACCACAGGTCAAAACTGGGTCCTCCTCCATCATTCTCAACCTTATTTTAATTTTTTTGTTTGTTTTGGAAGCAGGGTCTCACCATGTAGCTTGGGCTGGCCTAGAACTAGTTACATAAACCAGGCTGGCTTTGAACTCAGAAAGAGGCTGCCTGTCCCACTAATGGGGATTAAAGGTGTGCACCACCATGGCACAGGTCTTCACTGAACCTGGAGCTCCATTCAGGCAGACTGACTGTCCAGCAAACCCCATGGATCTCCGTATCTCTGCCTGCTCAGCACTGGGGTCACAGTCGCGCACTGCCCGCTCAGCACTGGGGTCACAGTCACACACTGCCTGCTCAGCACTGGGGTCACAGTCACACACTGTCTCCTCAGCACTGGGGTCACAGTCACACACTGCCCGCTCAGCACTGGGGTCACAGTCACGCACTGCCCGCTCAGCACCGGGGTCACAGTCACGCACTGCCCGCTCAGCACCGGGGTCACAGTCACGCACTGCCCGCTCAGCACCGCGGTCACAGTCACGCACTGCCCGCTCAGCACTGGGGTCACAGTCGCCCATTGCCTCCTCAGCACTGGGGTCACAGTCGCGCACTGCCCGCTCAGCACTGGGGTCACAGTCGCGCACTGCCTGCTCAGCCCTGGGATCACAGTCGCGCACTGCCCGCTCAGCTTTTCCACATGGGTCCTGGGACTGAACTCGGATCCTCAAGCTGGAGCAGCAAGCTCTTTACCAAATGAGCTACTTGCCCAGTCCTCATCTTCCCTTTCAAACTCTTCCAACATTTCACCTTGGGAACTCTGCTGGGAACGCCGAAGATCAGGACGCAGCGCAGGCCTGCTTCCACCAGGGGTCTCAGCATGTCCTCTAGCTGGTTGACGCCATACCTGGGAGAGGTCAGGGAAGCGTGAAGTACTGAGGGAACAGGTCACCTACCCAGGCCTCCACCCCTCTGCATAGTGCTTCTGTTAAAAGCCAAGCTGTAGGCTGGGGATGTAGCTCTGTGGTAACACACTTGCTAGCCTGTGAGAGGTCCGCAGTGAAGATCCAAGCTGTGCAGGGACCAGGAGGGTACACACCCCTCAGTAGTCCAGGACCAAATAGTAACACACCCACCACAGAGGTGGGCAAATTGGGTCATAGAGAAGTTATGGAGTGAGCTGTGGCAGACTCCTCTATGGCTTTTACTCAACTCAAGTACCATCTCAAGCTCAGTTCCCGCCTGCAGCAACCTCTGCCACAGTGTCCCCGATGGTGGGACGCCGGTCACTTTATGAGGTTGCCTCCCATACTATCTAACAGTCTAGTCTCCAGGCAATCCTTCTTTCCATGGCGCCTTTCCAGCTTCTGGCATTTGCACCCCTGAAATTGCTCCCTCCATCATCTCCCCGCCACTCATCATGACTCCTACCTGGCCACTCCTGGGAGGCTGGCAATAGGCTGGACATCATCAGGAACGTCCCTGCAAGAGTGGGAAGGGCCAGTGGTGAGTGTGCCTGGGAAGGGCGGGGTGGGGAGCTGGGAAAGGACAAGGGAGTAGAGATGGAGGGAGGAGGTGGAAACCCATGTCTGGCTCCCCTGCCCGGCCAACCCCAGGGCCTAAAATCACGACAGGAACAATCACAATGTGACAGTAAGAGCCGCTGTCCCCAAAGAACAGCAGTCACAGGAAGGACCTGGACTCTGAGGTCAGAGGGTCCTTGTGTCTTAGTACATGTTGACTAAGTGACTTTGGCCAAGATGTGGCATCTCCTTCAGCCTCAGGCCCTTCACCCGGATCCTGTGCAGATTCATCTCTTCACCCACTGAAGATTTACTGAGCAGTTCCTATGTGCTAGGTAGTGTTCTGGACATTGATGAGAACAGTGAGGCAGCAACAACCCCTGCCCTCCAGGGGTGAGACGCATGCAGACTCTATTTCTTCCTCGTGTAGAGACCAGGACTGAATGCGGTAACAGATGCAGGTGCTCAGCATAGTTCCTGCTGCACAGTAAGCAAGCACTCCACAAATACCTTCTGTGGTTGCTAGCAATTATAACTGCTTGACTGTTTTTTAACAATCGCCTCTTGCGTAGACACAGCATTCAACCCAGCTACTTCCTCCTCCCTCCTCTTGTTTTAGCCACCGAAGCTCAGAAGGGCAAGAGTAACCTTGACTTTACAAATGGAGTGACTTGAGTTCTTTTCGGGGCTTGTACGGTTCCAAAGACTCCTGTCCTCAACCTCACAGGCCACTTGCAAAACCTTTTGTTTCGGCTCCCCGCTCCCAACAATACTGCCTGCTCCAGGGACGTAGGTCCTCCAGCCCTGGGCAGATCCAAGGCGCAGTTTGAGGGACTCACGTGACAAAGATGGGGTAGATGAGGTTGGAGGCACTGATGGTGGAGGCAGAGGTCTGCCAGGTCCGAAGCACGGGGTGGAAGTAGCCGCTGTGCAGGATGGACTGGTGATGCATGGTGTAGACTCGTGTGCTGTCCGTCCGCTGTAGATCAGCTCTGTGGGGGACCCACAGGAAGTGTAAGACATGGCTGTGCCCAGGGTCACATCCGGGAGACGGCTCTTTCAGGCCCCTGCCTCTCCTCTCCCCAGTCTCTGCAACTCATGGTGTGGTTTTACCAATGGCTGCCCCTCCAGGACAAGGTAAGGCAGGGATACCCACAGAAGCTTCAGAGTAGTTCAATCTAACGATAGCATTTGGCCTGTACTTCACAGGACTGCTAGTTAAAAACAAACAAACAAACAAACAAACAAACAAACAAACAGACAGACAGACAAACAGACAAACAGTTTTTGGGGGAGATGGCTCAGTGGTTAAGATCGCCAGCTGCTCTTCCAGAAGCCTGAGTTCAATCCTCAGCACCCACATGGCAGCTCACAACTGTCTGTAATTTCAGTTCCAGGGGATCCGACACCCTCATACAGACATGAATACAGACAAAACACCAATGCACATAAAAAAAAAAAAAAAAAACACCCACAACTTTTCTAGTATCTTTAGCTTGTATCTTAGCAAGGAATCTGAAAATTAGAAATAAAAAAGAAGCAGAACCGATTCTTCCTTGTATGGATTTTAAGAAGCACTGATCATTGCAACATTTAAACTGCATTTAATCCATGAAAAACGCCCATGATTATGGCAGACAGAGATGTAACTTTTTTTAATGTGGTGCCATCGATCAAACCCAGGGGCTTTACAAATGTCAGGCATGGATTCAACTACTGGGTTACAGCCCCAGCCTTAGTGCTGTTTTGATTTTGAGACAGGATTTCACTGTGTAATTCAGGCTGGCCCCAAACTTGCTTGGCAAGTATTTTAGAGAAGCAGAAAGAAAAATGCCCTGGAATTCTGCTGCTAGCCCAAAGCATTGCTAACACCTTGGCATGTGGGCTGTGGCACTAGGCACAGTGAATACCAAGATCAATTACTGCACGCATGATTGACACACTGACACACACACACACACACACACACATACACACACACACACTTCCCCTGTACAGTGGCCTCAAAAGGGCTCTTGTAACCAAGGAGCCTTCTGCGGTGGCCAACCATGGCCGCCTGATCCTCCCACATCTACCCCCCAAGGGCTAGGATTATGTGATACACAGGAACCCAGGTTTTTGTGAATGCTAGGCAAGCACGATACCAGCCCAACTGCCTGTATGGGGATGGCACACTGTTCTCTTCCCCTAGGCCTACACTCCGCAGTCTGCCCTCAGGTAAGCGTGCCACCAGCTTCTCCCTCGCCCACCGTGGCTCCTTCCCGCCCACTTCCCAGTGCCTCTTCTCTAACAGTTCTTTGTAGCACTGGCTTACCTTGTGCTAGTTAACAGAGGTTCTACAGGGCAAAGGCTGTGGTGAATTCATTCTGGCCTACCACACTGTGCTCTTCCCACGCACAGCCTCTAGCACAGAGCAAATATTTCATCACCCCGAGCACAAGACAAAACTGCAGGCCAAAAAAGTGATGCAGGACCGAAGGAAGGAAGTCTGGGTGCCAAGTCTGGGTGTTTTAGGAGAACCTACTGTGTGCCAGCTCACGGCAGCACCCTCACAGGTGCCTTCTGGAAGTCACAGGCTAGTCCTGGGAGGCAGGGCTGACAAGCGCATTGCAGAGCCAGGCAGCCCAGGCCCCTATCATCCATGGACCCAGAGGAGGGCAGAAGAGCTTGTACAAGCCAGGGCTTGGGCTCTCTTCTGCAGAACGTGTGAGTCTGGCAGAGGGCAAGAGACAGTGCTCCCTCGAGAAGGTGAGTGAGGATGACTGTGGACTCTTCTGAAGCCTCGAGGATGGAACAGAGGCCATGTCAAAGAGGTGGAGGAATTGAGACAGGGATGGGTTCTGAGCAGCAGCAAATAGGGTACTGGCCTGGCCAGAGCCTGGCTTTAAGAGAAAACTCTTGTAGCTGAGGAGAGCAGACAGGAAGCAGAGGATCAGTGGGAGGCCAGGAGGCGGAGAAGGAAGGGACATCTTGAGGCAGCCAAGAGGCTGTCTCTTAGGGCGGATGCTCTGACCCAGGGGACAACTGAGACAGGGGCATGGCAGGAAGAGGGTGGTGGGACGAAGGGCTGGACAGCTAGCTCCATTTTAGACATTTCCTTTTGGAGATCTCTTTTGGCTACTAAGCAGCCAAGTTTAAAAAAACAAAAAAAGCCACAGAAAGTGGAGGCTGGTAGGCTTGAATCTCTGCTCTTCAAACAAAGGGGAGTCGAGCGAAGGCCAGAGGGGCAGGTACTTACCCAAAGTCCTACAGCAAATTAAATGTGAAAACAAGTCCAGAACGCTGGGATCCTTCAGTGTGCCGTGTGGTGTTTCTGCTATTTCTCAGTCCCCTTCAGCTGCCTCCCAACCAGCTCAGGGGCCCCTCTTATCCCACCTTCCTCCTTGTAGAGTTGAGGTTATCAGGAGCCACACAAGGACCAACCCTACCACCACACCCCTGGGTGGGCCAGCCTCCTCACAGGACACAGGGGAGGCCAGGCCTCCTTGGAGATGTCACACTCCATACCTATGAGGGTTTATCGACCCACTTTGTGCAAAATTTGGCTCTCACATCTGCTAGGAGTTAGTCCCGAGATACAAAATTATTTGCTCAAAACCATATAGCTGGTCAGTGATAAAACCAGACTTTTCCCTTGTTCTGAACTCCAGCTGGTCTCTCTCTACAGATACTGTTTCTGATCTACTGAGTCTGTCAGGTACAAGAGCACTGAAGGGACACTTAATTGCAAAAATCAACATAACTTTTAGTGATTAGGAAATAGAGGCTCAGGGAGGTTATGGAACTTGCTCAATGCCATTCTGGATTGGGGTCAGATTTTGAAACCAGGTGCATATTCAGATGCCTCTGCCTAAGAAGTATCTCTGCCGCAGGATCTGGCTTCTGGAATCCACACCTGCATTCCCTGGCTTTCACTCATCTCCCCTAAAAGCCTAAGGGAGCGACTGATAGGCCATCTGCCTAAAAGTAAAACTGGGAGGGCCACCTAGGAGCTGCGCCGTTCGAATTCTACGTCCAGGTAGCTGGGAGATACGGGAGGGAAAGATGGAGAGGTGTGTGGGTAGATGGGGGCACTATAGCAGCTCCTGTTTTCTTGTGGGACTGAACTCCTGGACCCTTGTGCTCCATCACTGAGCTATATCCCCAGCCAGAAGAGTTCGACTTCTGTTCTCTCTCTCTCTCTCTCTCTCTCTCTCTCTCTCTCTCTCTCTCTCTCTCTCTCACACACACAAATGACATGGAGATTTATTATTAATTATAAAGCTCAGCCTATAGCTTAGGCTTGTCTCACTAGCTCTTATAACATCTCTATTCATCATCACGTGCTGCCATGTGACTAGAAGCTTTTACCTCTCCTCCTGCACGTCTTGCTCCCTCTGCACCCAGGTGGCAACTCCACCTTTCCTCTTCCCAGAACTCTCTCTGTCCAGAAGTCCCTGCACTGCCCCCTGCCTAGTTACTGCAGTTCAGTTTTTTACTAAACCAATCCCAGTGACACAGCTTTGCACAGTGGAACCAAGTATCTCGCAACAGAAGGGGTTGTGGGATCCCCTGGAACTAGAATTACTTATGGTTGTTGAGCCACTATGTGGGTGCTAGGAACTGAACCCAGGTCCTCCGTGAGTGCAACAAGTACTCTTCATCACTGAGACATCCCTTGTCCGGGTTGAGGTTTTTATTTTGATCACCAGACCAAACTGAAAGAGATGTCAGGTGTCAGATGTCTTTCGAGACAGGGTTTCTCTGTGTAGCTTTGTGCCTTTCCTGGAACTCACTTGGTAGCCCAGGCTGGCCTTGAACTCACAGAGATCTGCCCGCCTCTGCCTCCCGGGTGCTGGGATTAAAGGCGTGCGCCACCACCGCCCGGCCAATCCTTCACATTTTGACAGGAGAAACGAAGAGCTGGAGGGAAGTCACAGGACTTGAGCTCACACGCAACCCAGGCTCCGGACTTCTAGTCCAGTGCCCTCTACTACACCGTCTATTACGGCAGGTGTTTAGTCAAGGTCCAGAGTGGAAAGGTGCCCAGAGTTGCTTCTGTTTTACAGAACCAACTCTAGATCAGAATTGCTTTGAGAGATAGCCTTCAGAGCCTGGAAGATTCTCAAACAAGGGCAGGCATTTTCCCTAAATTAAGGGAGTTTGCAAACTTCAGCTTAAATCCTGTGTCTCCTATTAACAGGAATACATGACCATAGGGGCCCAGCTCGCCTTTCCTCCATTTTAAAACAGCTTCACTTTGCTAGCAAGCTTACAAAATGGTGCAGAAAGAACCCTTTGCTCACACAGCCCCAGAGTGGACTCTAACTTTGGGCAAGGCCTTTCAGATCCCTTTCTTCAAAACCTACAATGTGCTGATATTATCAAGCCAGTAAGCTGTGGAGAAGATCACATAATGGTGAGGTGTGTCTGACACCACATACAGGGCTAATGCTGAGCTGGGATGAGTACACAGTACGTGTGACCCTGCACCACACCCGAGGAAGGAGATACATTCCACCCCAGCGCCTGAGGTAAGAGAGGATAGGGGCCCTCCAGCAGCACCTGCCTGACAGGAAGGAACTGACCACTGAAGACAGTCAAGGGTAGTTTCATAGAGACACTGCAGGATAGCTTTTGTGAAAGGCTATGGAGGTCTCACCTTCCACAGGAGGCAACATCCTCCGACCTGGGAGTGAGACTGTCACCAGGAGTGGCTGAGAAGCGCTCCAGGGCCTGGACTCCCAGGCTGTGCCCCATGGAGGATTCCAGAGGCTGTGCTCTTGGCACGGATAGTGGGAGATGGTGCCAACTCTGGCAGGCTCTGCACGGGCTGGGGAGGAGACCCGTCAGGAGGGCCAGCTAGGTAGAAGGTCCAAAGCTGGGAAAGCTGAAGCATGTTTCAAAAAGGCCCAGGAAAGGCAGCTGTGAGCAGTTCTGAAAAGGGATTGCCTGGTGGCCCATTTGCATTTCCTCCACACTCTTGCTGCCACCTGCCACAGTGTTAGGAGGGATTAGAGAAAAAAAACCAGACCTTGTCTAGTCTGCTGGCCTAATCTTCCCTGCCTGGATTCAGCCATTTCAAACTAGGAGTTGTCTTTCCCAGGTTGCTAAAAAATTCTGGCTGAGAGTTTCTACATCAAACAATGGTAAAATTGAATAGGGATCATACAGCAGGTCAGCTGTAAATCTGGTCTAAAATCCGGGAGTCCAGCAGCCCTCAATTCTGACCTTTGACACTAGAAGAACAGAGTTCATACATTATATTCCCGGCAGAGATGAGCCGACTGAGCGCTCCAGGCCAGAGAGTAGGGAAGGGAAGGGGTATGGTATGACCTAGACCTGGCCACTGCTGGTAGCAGGCGGGTTAAGTGTGTGACTTTGGGATTTAAAAGGCATGGAGACAAACTCTTGTTTTCAGATGCTTGACCTCTTGTCTTCTCATGTGGTAAATTGGGGCTTGAACTGACCTCAATGGGCTGTTGTAATGCCTGACTGAGCAGAAGCTGTCGACATCCAGGACAAGCGACGTTCATTGTTTCCCCTCAGCTCTCCAGCCTGCCTGACACCCCGCGCTCCGAGACTACCCCTGTGGCCTCGGAGAAAGGAGGCGGGTGGAGCCCAGCTTTGAATCCCCAAGCCTGGACACGGCCAAGACCACGTAGCGGCAAGATATTCCGCCCACTCTAGAGGGTGCACCGGGACCGTGCCTCCGCTGCAGCGTCAGGTCTTCGGGAGCACAGTGCCATCCGGGATGCACCTCGTCTCGTCCTGGAGTCGTCCTCCCAACCCGCCACTTCCCAGAGGCAGGGCCCGCTCACCTACCCGGGAGGCCGGTCCCCGCCGCTCCAAGCCGCGGCTCCAGACTGCGCTCTCCCGCTCTAAAAGCGCAAGCCCACGTGGGGGCGGGGCGACTCACCCGGAAGCGGCTCTCCGACTGCCCGCCCCCACGGGGATGCAGCCCAGGCTCCCTGCGGGGCCGCCCCAGGATCCCCGGGCTGCTCTCGGCCTGGCCCACGCTTGGAAGGCTGGAGGCTTGGCCAATCTGGAGTTTTCGGGGAGCCCGAGAGACCGCCCACCCCCCCCAACTCCGGCCCACCCCTTCTCCCGCCCCTCGGGCCACACTTGAGGTGGGAAGGCCCGAGGGGTGCACGTGGGCAGTCCCAAGCCTCTGGGCGGGGCCCTGGCTTTGCAATTCCGAACTCATCCCGGAGTTCACTTGAAGGTCTCTTCTCAGCCTCGAGCAAAAACTTGCTCATTGGTTACAAGAAAAAAAGAACAATTGGATGTCAAGGACATTGAAACACCACATAATTCCTAACACAGCGGGTAAATCCATTTTGGCAGACTGAGCGCTTTAAAGTTGTTGAGTTCAGCAGCAGACTGACTGCCCATTTCAGACAAATTTATTCCAGCGTAATTAATTATCCAGCCCTTGATCTGTCATGGGTTGAGAGATGTGAAAGATGTGGACATTGAAAAAATACGAAACTAATCAAATGTGACAGGGGCATCAGGTTTATCTACAATGGGTATATTAAAATCTGACCAAAGGGAGCAGACTTGGTGGTATACACCTTTAATCCCAGCACTAGTAGGTAGAGGCAGGTGGATCTCTGAATTTGAGGTCAACTTGGTCTACAAAGTGAGGTCCAGGCCAGCCAAGGCTATTACATAGTGATACATTGTCTCAACAAAACAAAAACAAACCAAACAACACAATTAATTCTAAAAAATTTAGCCGAGTAGCAGAGGTGGACAAATCCCAGCACTTCGGAGTCAGAGAGGATCTGTGAGTTCGAAACCCCGTCTCCAAAAACAAAAACAAAACAACAAAATTAACCAAAGGTTTGTGGAGGATCAGAGCATGGGGTCTAGGGAGGCTAATGGAGCGAAAAACAAAGGCTGGAGGTGGGGTAAGGGCCTGAGTGGAGCAGAGCACGGGGGAGTGACTGCTTACTAGGGAGGAGGCGATGAGATTATCTTGAAGGTAGACGTGGGTAGTTGTGTAATACTCTAAATGTCCTAAGTACCACCAAATCTTCTTTTAAAAATGGTTAATTTTATGATCTGTGAATCTCATTTAGTTTTTACAAATTCAGTAGAAAGTTTGGACTTTTTCAGTAGAAAAGTTGTAATATGAGAAGTCAAATGAAGGCTATACCAGAACTGCGCTCCTTGTAATTTTTCTGTAAACCTAAAATTATCCCAACCATTTATAAAGTTTACTCAAATAAAACCAGAAGTAAGGCCAAAGGCCACTGGATCATGATCTCAGTAATCATAAATTAGCTGTAAGACCCTACTTCTTTCTAAAGAGCCTCAATTTCCCATAAGTAAAAATAGGGGGCTAGGACACAAAAACATTTTTGAAAAGATTTATTGCCGCGTGTGTGAATGTTTTGCCTGCATGCGAGGCTATGCACCACCTGCCTGCAGTGACGGGAGGTCAGAAAAGGGCGTGGGATCTCCTTGAACTGTAGCTACAGAAGTTGCTAGCTGCCGTGTGGGTCCTGGGAACTGAACCCTGGTCCTCTGGAAGAGTGTCGCTGTTATTAAGTGCTGAGCCATCTCTTCAGACCCTCAAAGTAGCTTTGAATGAATTCGAACAAGAACTCTTCCACTGCCCAGATCCAGGTTAGTCTCTGTGCACAAAGCACTCTGCTTAAAGAGAAGAGAAACTTACCTAAGTCTGCTGGAAAACCTTCAAAATCCAGATGCCATTATGGGGTGGTGTAGGTGTGACTGAGAAAGAGCTAATGGATGACCTCAAAGATTCTTTCCAGGTGTTCAATTCTGTACTTTTAAATCCAAATCTCCATTCCTAGAAAAGGTTTCTCTTAGACAGTTAAAGTTTAGTTAAGGGTTTGGGCAGGATGAACTAAAGGTCTAAAGAAGAGCATTTTTTTGTTTTGTTGTTGTTTGAACAAGCTAGGCAAGTATGCTGTAACTGAGCCCTTTCCTTTTTTTTTTTTTTTTCTGAGACAGGCTTTCTCTGTGTAGCTTTGTGTCTTTCCTGGAACTCACTTGGTAGCCCAGGCTGGCCTCGAACTCACAGAGATCCGCCTGGCTCTGCCTCCCGAGTGCTGGGATTAAAGGTGCACCTGCGCCGCCGCTGCCGCCGCCGCCACCACCACCACCACCACCCGGCTCCCTTTCTGTTTTTGACTGGCACATGAACAGCCTTATAGAGGGAGATTAGATGGTAGGGTGAGCCCCTCTTACTCAGGCCTTGAATAGCAGGATTTGACCTCAGAAAGATGTTCCCGGAAGACCCATTTGCTAAGTGGGTATTCATGGGACATTGACCTCAAAGGAAGTCACAGAAGTCCAAATGGGACTTGAAAGGCTAGGTCTACCATGATGCTCATGGGAATTAAGAAGGGATATCAAGGCCGGGCGGTGGTGTCGCACGCCTTTAATCCCAGCACCCGGGAGGCAGAGCCAGGCGGATCTCTGTGAGTTCGAGGCCAGCCTGGGCTACCAAGTGAGTTCCAGGAAAGGCACAAAGCTACACAAGAGAAACCCTGTCTCGAAAAACCAAACAAAAAAAAAAAAAAAGAAGGGATATCAAATGACCATTGGGGTTCTGATTTATAAATTTGACTTATGACTTAAGAATGATGTTAATTCTCCAATTAACATAGAGCTTGTGGTTAAGAGCTAACAAAGGTAACAGTAATGCAGCTTGATAGGAGTTAGGAATTAATTCTTAGAACAGCAGTCCTTAATTGTGAATGCTCATTCACCTGCTGGTGGATTCAGTGTGTGTGTGTGTGTGTGTGTGTGTGTGTATGAGAGAGGAGAGAGAGGAGAGAGGAGAGAGGAGAGAGGGAGGGAGAGAGAGAGAGAGAGAGAGAGAGAGAGAGAGAGAGAGAGAGAGAGAAAGATGGGTCTTTTCCAAAAGCACACTGTATGAGTCATCATTTTAAACAAGAATGTTCTTTATTGTTCTTTATTGTATAAAGCATTAAAATCTTTTCAACAGTCTCCAGTCACTTTCAATAAACTCTTCACTGTATCCACTCAACTAGCTAACAGTGTCCAACTCTATTACATCACCTGTCAACCTCAAGTGCTCAACTAAGACAAAAAGCAAAGTGCTTGGAGCACTACCTGGGGAGCTGAAAGGCCATCAGACACTGCACAGCCACAGCGGAGGTGGTGAGGTGCTAGACTCCTGAGCACCACGACATTCACCTGAAGGTTCAGAGGTGTTTCAGGAGACGAGGACTAAGGAATCTGAGGACAAGAAGATGACATAAGAGGAGGAGGAGAAACTGGGGCTGGAAAGCAGAGGCAGGAGACAGATGGAGAGGGAAAGACTGTGCCTAGAGGAAATCAAGCCTGAAACTTGTCAAGCGTTCAGGGAGTGAAAAGCAGCAGCCACCGGTCAGGGAGATGGACTAATGAAGAGAAAACCTGGGATTTTACACCTTCCAGGAGGTAGCACTAAATCCTACAGTGGCAGGCACTGAGTCACAGCTAAGATTAAGCCCCGTGTTTCTAAGAATTGGCACCCCTTTTGACAGACTCCAATTGACACTGAGAATTTAAGAGTGTATGTTATAGAGTGCAGCCACCCCAGCAGACTGAACATCTACAGTCAATAAAGAAGGGCTACAAGCTAATGGAGTCTAGAAACCAAACCAAACAAACAAGCAATGTTACCATCCAGTGAAGAGATTACCTCATTTCTCCCACAGTTCAGTCATTTCCTAAAGGGCAACCATTCTGACCATTTTAAGACCCACTGCCAGTACTGTGCAATCAAACGGGGTGACCATGATCAAAGCCCCATTTTGCCCCCTGAGCCTTTAGTGCCTCTGTGACCTGGGACACAGCAGGCAACATGGAAGTTACTACTTTCTGGGAGGGGCAGGGATATGGGATTAAAAAAAAAAAAAAAAAAAACTAGCTAGCCACATACTTAAGTAAACAAACGATATCATACTATTTAGTCATTCAGAACCCCTTATACTAAAGAGTCACAAACTCCAGACTGATTCAGCAAAACAGGTTTCTGTTACTCAGAGGCTCTGAGTACGGGAAGAGCTGGTTTTGATCATTCTGGTCAGTTGTTACTTTGATCTCGGGCACCTGTGCCGCAGATGGCTCTGCCTCGCGGGGAAAGGCGTCCCGTGGGAACATCTCAGGGTGGTCACTTCCGTGGCGCCACAGTCTGCCCACTCTCTCCACTCAGTTGTCTACCTCCTCCTCCTCGTTCTGCTCTTCCTCATCCAGTCTTTCCTCGTCTTCATCCTCGTCCTCCCTGCTCTTGTCCTGCTCCTCGGAATCCGTTTTTTTGTCTCTGTCCTTCTTCTTCTGCTCCGAAGCTTCCTTCTTGCCTTTCTGCTCCCGCCTGTACGCTGGAAGGAAGCAGGAGACCACTGTTTGATCAGGCACACCGAGGCACAGGAGGACTAGCCAGGCCCGCGTCTCACGTCGGAAATGCTACCAACTAAACAGAGTGGAATCGTGACGAGTACTGGGTTCCTGAAACCAGGTGATCAGGGAACGGAGGAGGCCATCTTTCCTATGGCTTAAGAAACAGAAGTGGGGATGGATACCTTCCAGGGCCTCTTTCAACGGGGCCACGAACCGCTGGAACTCCATCTCTTCCATGGCTGACAGCACATCACTGGCATTCAGAGTCTTGCGCTTGCCCTTCATCGCGAAGTTGTTCGCACTGGGAGAAAAAAGCAAAGCCCTTCAGAAGCTGCCAGAGTGGGTGGGGACACGAGACACCAAGAGGTGGGGTGGGGGAAAAAGCCCACGCGTATCTTAGATTCACGGGTTTTCGCGACACGACTCAAGTTCATCCCTTCCCCGTGCAAAGCGCTACGGCAGCCCTTCTCGTTTAACCTGCTTCAGATTTTAGGGGAACCGGAGGCGAGCTGCGAGTCGCCCTCTCTGCCGAGGCAGGGAACAGTGACGGGGGCCACGAACTCGGTCGGGGTCAAGGTCCCGCAGGGCCTCCCTCCCGCCTCTGCTCGGCTCACCAGGATGTGGCATAGAGAACGAAGACGCTGGCGGCGCGGGAGATGGCGCTCCGGGCCTCCTTGGAGATGTTGACGCCGTCCGGGAGCTGCGGGAGGGGAGAGAGCGCGCGCGCGGATCTCGTTACCCTTCTGCCCACTCGTCCGCCCTCGACCGGTCCGCCAGCCCCGAGCAGCTCACCGCTTCCTTGATGATCCTGGTAATGACGGCGTTGGGCAGATTTAGGTCCTCGGGCCTCTCCGCCATGGCCTCCGCCGGAGCCCGGGCCGCCTCCGCCCCAGGCCTTCTCTTCCGACAGTTCTGGCGTCCGGACTTCCCGCGTCGCTAAGCTCTGACCCTCGGAGGCTTCCGTCCCACCCCACGTTGCCAGTGTCCCACAGTGCTTTGCGCACCACCGCCTCCCTTCTGCACCCGCCCCGCCTCAAGTCGCCGGCGGAGCCAAGCGTTCCCTGTCGCGGTGGTTTCGGCTCACGGAGGTTTCCGTTAGCTTCCCTCGCAGCCTTGACGTCCCGCTCCAGGCTCGTGTCTTTCCCACACACCGTCATTTTCACTGGAACTTTCGTACCAAGCCAATTTCGGCTCTCTGAGGCTTCCGTCTAGTCTCCCATCGTGCTCTGCGCCGCTGCTAGGCAACGGGACAGCATGGTGCCTGGCGTGGAAGGGGAAGGCGTGGACTGAACCGGTGGGGCGGGACTCGGAGGGAGGAGGTGGGCGGGGTCTTCTGGGAGAGGTGGCCCGGGGCCAGAGCCTCGGAGCCTTTTCGCAATCTCAGCGTTGTCCCTGGTGGCGCAGAACAGAGCGCTTTGGTCTCTGCCTTTAACCCGCGCAGTCGCGCACCGCCGACACTGGAGTCCCTCGCTTTTTTTTTCTTTCTTCTTTTTGGCTCGGAACTCAATGGAGATTTTCTTTCAATTTTACTTCACCGATGTCCATCTTTAATCTTATTCCCCCTCACAACTTTGTGATAATCGTATTGAGGATAAATGTTATCTAAAACTTTGTTGTTGTTTTTTTAATGCCAACTATTTTATTAGGACCGCTGTAATACTGGCGATATCGAGAGACGCCTGATGAGACTTCGGGGCTCAGTTTGGACTGGTCCGGCACTGAAAGGGCGAGAAGCATCTGATTGTAAGAATAATGCATCGCATTCGCATTCTCATTCAAAACCCCGTGTTAAAGTTGTAGTTCTTAATTCATTAAGTAATTCATCGTACATATTCTCCATCAAAATCATTACGGAGTTTTACATGTCCAGTGGCGTTTTAAGTTACATAACTTTTGTATTAAATACAGAAAAATTCTTAATGAGAACTAATGTTGGAGTCTTTCTTTCTTTCTTTGCTTGTCTCTTTTCTTAAAACATGTTCCAAGATTTGTTTTCCTACTTTACATGAAGACACAATTACAAAGAAATATTTCCCTATTGGGAGGAAAAAAACACAACCCACCAACAAGGCAAATAGGATGATGAATGGCGCTGAGGGATTGCTGTGGTGGAAAGAGCTTTGCCCTTAGAACAGGCCTGGTTTAGAGACACCAGAAGCCTTAGTCCCAGCCACTGTTTAGCTGGAACTGTGTTCTCAGACATCTTGATCTAGGAGAGAAACCAGAAATCTGAATATTGTGGACCATTTCAGTTTCAAGATACTGGCTCAAAATGCTTGCCAAGCTAAATAAGTCATAGGCCAGGTGCAACCCAGGCCAATAGTTTCGTATTTCTGATTTAAATGATAAGCTGTTTAGAAGAGGGAGTCTGTTTATTGCTGTTCTCCAGGCCCCAAACAGGTTCTCTCACATATTTGGTAGTCAATAAAGTGTTGACTAGAAGAGGAAATTGACAGTGTCCTTAAAAAGTTAATAAGGAGACCGGTGAGATGGTTCAGTGCATAACGACACTTTGTACCAAGCTGAGGACCTGAGCAGTCTCTGGGCTCACGAAAGAATGAGCTCCTGCTGGCCCTCACATGTGTACCGTGGCACCTGTGCCCACAAAATAGATGAATAAAATGCAATTATATGTTAAAAGGAATTAGGTAGTTGTAGGGACTGCATAACATTTTAAAAAGGGGATTGATTAGTGTGTGTGTATAATGTATGTACTTATGTGTGTATGAGTATGGATATTCATGTGCCATGCTGCTGTGGAGGTCAGACCTTAAGTGTTGGTCTTTGCTTTCTACCTTAAGACAGGATCTCCTTTTTGCTGTTTACATCATCATATGCCAGGCTAGTTAGTTCATAAGCTTCAAGAGATTCTCAAAGCTCTGCTTTCTATTTTATGGTAGGAGCAAAGGGATTACAGATGTGCTACTGTGCCTGGCTTCTTATGGGTTCTGGGCATGGAATTCAGGTCCTCATGCCTTGCCCTCCAAATGCTTTTAGCTACTGAGGGCAAAGCCTGATAATATTTATCAAGCACTTGTTATATGTCATACATAAAAAAAATTGTATCTTATTTGATACTTTTACAATTTTTTTTTTGAGACAGGGTTTCTCTGGCAGTCCTGGAACTTGCTCTGTAGACCAGGCTGGCCTTGAACTCCCAGAGATCTGCCTGTCTCTGCCTCCCCAGGACGGGGATTAAAGGCGTGTGCCACCATGCCCAGCCATGCTTCTACAACTTTATACAAATAGTTTAAAATTTTTTGAGGTCATAATATAATTACATCATTTTTCCCTTCCCTTTCCTCTCTCAAAACTTCCCATGTAGCCCCCTGTTCTTTTAAATTTATGACCTTTTTTCTTTGTTTTATGTATATACATATATGTATGTATGCTCCTACAATGTAAAAAAATAATTTTATTTTTGAGATCATAATATAATATAATTACATCATTTTCCTCTTCCTTTTCCTTCCTCCATACCCTTTCATGTAAGCCCCCTTTCTCTTTTCCAAATTCATGGCCTCTTTCTCTTTGTTATATATATATATATATATATATATATATATATATATATATATATATATATATATATGTGTGTGTGTGTGTGTGTGTATAAATACATATATACTCTTATACATACATAAATACAATCTGCTCAGTCTGAATAATGTTATTTGTATGTTTTCAGGGCTGACCATTTGGTACTGAATAACCAATTGGTATGCTCTTCCTTGGGTAGACTATTTCTTCAGATCTCCGCACTCCTTAGTTGCCTGTGGTTCTTTGTCTAGGCTTGAGGCCTCATGAGAGTTCCTTCTTCTCTGATAGCATGTCTATTAATGTTGTCTTTGTTCAGCTCATGTTTAGACAGTCATGTTGGTGGGACTTCGTGGGTATAGCTTCTGGGTACCAGGTTTTCTTTTTTTGGGCCACCAACCAGTTCCCAAATCATGACATGGAGACTCCTTATTAGTTATGAATGCTTGGCCTAGCTTAGGCTCATTTCTTTCTTTCTTTCTTTCTTTTTTTTTTTTTGGTTTTGATCCGCTTGCCTTTGCCTCCCGAGTGCTGGGATTAAAGGCGTGTGCCACCACCGCCCAGCTGCTTAGGCTCATTTCTGGCTACCCCTTTTAACTTATCCTGTTTCTCTTTATCTACCTTTTGCCTCGGGGCTTTTTACCTTTCTCTGAACAGCCTACTTTCACTGCTTCTCGCGTCTGGCTGGTGGCCCTGGGTGTGGCCCTCTCTTTCTCCCTCCTTCTCTTCTCTCTTATTTAGACTCCTCCTCCTATTTATTCTCTCTGCCTGCCAGCTCCACCTATCCCTCTCCTGCCTAGCTATTGGCTGTTCAATTTTTTATTAGACCAATCAGGTGCCTTAGGCAGGCAAGGTGAAACAAATGCAACACATCTTTACATAATGAAACAAATGCAGCACAAACAACTGTAACACATCCTTACATCATTAAAGTAATATTCGGCAGCTTGAACAAATGTAACACATCGTTGCCCAGTTAAAATAATATTCCACAACACTTGTGACGTTTGTTTGTTTGTTTGTTTTGGAGACAGGGTTTCTCTGTGTAACAGCTCTGGTTGTTCTGGAACTCACTTTGTAGACAAGGCTGGCCTCGAACTCACAGAGCTCCCTCCACCTGCCTCTGCCTCCTGAGAGCTAGGGTTAAAGGCGTGTTCCACCACCATCCCAGCTTCTGACATTTCTAGGAGACACAATCTCACGGCAAAACCCCTGCTCCTCTGGCCCCCTCTTCCACAATAGTCCCTGAGCCTGAGGTATAGGAACTGTATTGTAGATGTACCAGCTGGGACTGGGCTCTTTAACTCTGCATTTTGATTGGATGTTGTTTTCTGTAATGGTCTCTGTCTGTTGCAAAGAGAAGTTTCCTTCGGAGGGGTGAGAACTACAATTACATGGGGGTGTAAGGACAAATATTTAGAGTATAGTTAGGGATTATGCTGGTTTAGTAAATTGGTGGTTGTAGGTTCTCCTCCAAGATCCATAACTTCCCTAGCCCTAGGTAGTTGACAAGATTTCCAGTGCTGGGCATGGTCTCCCACTTGTTAAGTGGGTCTTCAGGCTTATTAGAGAGCTGCTGGTTACCACCAAGATATGCATGCCTCTATTTCACCCTTAGAGTTCTGGAGCCACGGCAGTCATTGATGTGGCTCATAGGCAGCACTGGTTGCTTCTCTCCTTTGGAAGTGTTCGTGGCACCTCTGGTACCACAAAAGCTAGTCCTTAGGGAGGAGGCTTTCAGGTGGATCTGAGCCCTGTGTCTGGAGTGTATTATGTCTTCAGTAATAGGGACTTAACTTCCACCTTTGGGGGGCAACTGGGGACAATAGCAAAAGCCTATAATGTTTTGGGAGTCTCTTGAACAACCCTGACCAACAACTAACAAGAGGGTTGCTCATACCCAGTGTTGTGGTTTTGGGTTGATGGTCCGTGGCTCTCCGAGGGAGCACTCTCAGCCCAGACGGGGAAAATCACACTTCAACTCAATATGTCTATTTATATACTGACTTACATGAATTATAGGGATTTTTAGGTAGATAGTTGAAAGTTTAATTCCTGCTGGGCATGGTGGTGTGCGCCTTTAATTCCAGCACTCGGGAGGCAGAGGCAGGCTGAGCTCTATGAGTTCAAGGCCAGCCTGATCTACAGAGTTAGAATCCAGGACAGCCAGAGATAAACAGAGAAACCTTGTCTTGAAACTGCACCCCCCCCCCCAAAAAAAAAAAAGACAAAAGAGGATGATTCCTTATGACTTTTTCAGAATCCTACTGCTATTTTATCATCCTTCCTCCTTCAGTATTTATCTCTCTGCTTCCTAGTCAGAGCCCCTCATTTTCCCCATTTCCCCCTTCAGATCACGTGTGCCCTGCTAGTCCCCTCTCCTTTTCTTGAATTGTTGATGTGTGCATGTGTGTATGTTCCTACAATGAAAGTTTTAGAATTTATTTTATGTGTGGTGGTGTCGCCCTGAATGTATATGTACCACACACATACAGTGCCTGTGGAGGTCAGAAGAGGGTGTGCAATCCTTTGGAACTGGTTTTATACAAGGCTGTGAACCATCATGTGGGTGCTGGGAATTAAACCCAGGTTCCCTGGAAGAGCGGCCATTTCTCTTAACTGCTGAGCCAGCTCTCCAGCCCTCTTACAATCTTATGTGGGGTCCCCATTCTCTTTCATCAGGAAATGGCCTGAGAAGGGTGAGGTTACTTGGTAAAGGCCACACAGCCAGTAGATGAAAAGTTAGTGGTCTCTGAAGCAACATCAGGCTGTCTGATTTGCAGTCAGAGCAAGGCCATTCATGAGTAGGGGTATTTTCTGATGATCATAGAATTTTGAAAAGTGATAAATGCCTTCTAAAGGCTTGAGCCACCTAAATGGCACTTCTGTGATTTCACTACTTTTAAGTTTTTATTGTTGGTTTCTTTTTGAGATGGGAGTCTCACTATATATCCTTGGCTGGCCTGAAACTTGTTATGTAGATTATTCTGGCCTTGAATTCATAGAGATCCATCTGCCTCTTCCTCCTAGAATGCTGGAATTAAAGTTGTACGCCTGTCTCTACGGGTTGTAATTTTCAAAGATGGTGGCATTTTGTAATGATAAATGAAGGGGGAAAGGAAAGGATGCTGATATTATTTTATTTTTTCATTGTGTATATGTGTGTAATGTGTGTGTGTGT